CATCGATAAAAATGGAGACTATTTCATTTAATAAATGTCTTGTTTTGTTATATAAGTTGTTCGGGTTTTTTCATCAAAAAAAAAGCGACATTAATCTCTTGACGACCTAATATAATGTGTTTCAGAATGTATAGGTAGTGATAAGATACTATAACACATTGTATTATGTATATATATTTCGGAATGGACATTAATAAGATTTTATAAAGCACATTGTAATTTACTTCATCATCAACGGTAATAAAATTATTTCATAAATGGGGTACTGTAATGTTTATTCTAGCACGTGCAATAATGATAAGGTTCTATATTAATTTATCATATACCTTATTTTAGCATTTACTGTAGGCAAAATATTCTATAATAGAGTATCGTCAAACTTATTTCATTTACAAGATATTCTTTTTGATCTATAACATCTATTCTGATGAAATATTATCTGTTTATGGGTAATTTGTGTGATTTATACAGGTTTCCATGAAAAGAGAAATATACGTATATATAGTGTTTCAAATGAAAAGTTATTTTATAAACAAAGCCGAACTGATGAGCTCTGGCATTAAGTGAAAGGTCTGATTGACAGGTCCACTTTTCTGTAAAAGGCCAGTAAAGAAGAATGCGATTAACAAATTATCAATCTGTTGTGATGTAATATCCCACCCATCAAAAAGTATTAATACTCTCTCACTAAAGTTTGCAGTTTCACGTAAATGGTGACTTTTGATAAAATAATGTCATTACAGATGGTTACTGACAAGTTCGTGTTTATAAAATACAAGAGAATGATCGAATGAACGTTTATTATTTCAAAGAGTCGAATATAAGTCAAACGTTTTTTTTTTTAAATAAGCATTTGACTTCTTACATCACCCGTCTCTGTGATATGAAACTGTTTTCTACAAAATCCAAATAAATTACTTATTGTGCAATAACAACTAATTAACCCAGTATGATTATTTTCACAATTTTTCATACTGACGATTATTTGTATTGAAAACAAAATAGACTCACTCCACATAAAAAATTACAAAATATTTCTTGCAATAATTTCACAGCTGTTTTACCAACTATTTGGAAAATCTCCAATATAATGTTAACTTGATTTGTCGACAAAGAAGAATGAACGTTGTAATGTTATCTTTAAATATCTAAGTGACGTAATCCAAATTTTATACACAAAAAATTATTGCAAACTGTGTTTTTACTAAAAAATTTTGTAGTACAGAATTATCTCATTCAATGATATTCCTAGAGTTCTGAAACTTTACCTTTAACAGTACACTCTTCTTGGATAACTGGACCATTTCTTTACTCATACTTTCATATACTATTATTACCACAGGTTGTTTTACTTAGTGCTGTAAGAGAAAATAATAATTTTCATGCACAAGATTTTAAGCTGATGATTTTTAACCACTCAATGATGGTAAACGAAAAATGACTGTTGCTCATCTAATCGATTAGCATAAAGATTTCTATTTTTCACGCAGGCGCAGAACTTGATACTTTTGAAGCACAAATGCCATCATGACGTACTTGTTCAGTAGCAGTTAATCTGGTTTTTTGTTGTTGTGTTTTTTACACACTAACTATGCAAAAAAAATTTGACCATCTGATGCATTTCGAACAATCAAAATATGAAGTGTTTGATCTTGTAAACTATAATGATCAAAATTCACTACCACAAAGAAGCCTTATAACTGTTTAGCTTGATTTGTTTTATAACATACTCCTATTTTATTGTATACAGGTAGCTGAGTGGTATATAGAAGGAATAGTTTTATATGTATAAGTTTATGCTTACAGTGTATGTGTGATTTGTTTTAACTCAAAACTACACACTGGGCTATTTGAGCTCTATCCACCTCGGATATCTAGTCCCGGATTTTAGCGTTGGAAGTCCTGTTATTTTGTTTGTTTGTAGTTCAAAGTTATAGGAGTTTAAGTTATATTTTAGTTCTGTATAGATCTCGTCATATGTAGATAAATATTTCAAATTTTCCCTTTGACGAGGGAAATCTTTATTATTTTGTTACATACACACAAACAATTTTTATTTCCTGAATTTTCAACGCTTCTTTAAAATTTGCCAATGTGACAAGTTAACACACAGAAACATAAGTTTTTGGTTGTTCTTTTTTGTGGGAATCGATGATCTAAATTATTCGATGTTGCTTGCTTTACGTGCCATATCTGTGAAATCAATCATACATCACCAAATAACCAGCTTTGCATAAAGATTATAATTATAGAGAGAAAATTTTTTAAATATTGTTAAGACCATTAAAAAGGTAGGTAAAAAATGAGTACAAATTTATTTCAGTTTGAATTAGAATGAATTGCAAATATTATAGCAACTTAGGGCACTGAAATACAGATGTTAATAATTAACCCCAAGCAACTATCACAGACATTAAAGTCGCATAATTTTAGATGCGGATTCTCTACCCTAATCATATTCAAGAAGGTTCAAGAAGTCTTGATAGAAATGAATAAAAACCCAGTTTGCCCCTGAAGAAAAAAGGTTCACCTAATCATATTCATTCATTAGAACATAACATTCCTGGATTTCAGGATTGAAACTTTGTCAATTACTACGTCGTAGTTGATGAAGCTCGCGACCTGTTATTCACTGAACATGATGAAGCTCGTGACCTGTTATTCACTGAACATGATGAAGCTCGTGACCTGTTATTCACTGAACATGATTAAGCTCGTGACCTGTTATTCACTGAACATGATGAAGC